TCTATACACACACACACACACACACACACACCTGTTGCAGAACATCACATTATGTGCCCTCAGTAGGTGTAGTTTTACCAATCATACTCCAATTAGCTGGGAATGATGATGATGATGTGATGATGATGATGATAAATCTGTTTTAAGCAACACACACTGCTCTCTTCAGGAATTCTGATGTATATATTTTCCCTTTGTCCTCCTAGAGTAGGTGCTACTGATTTAATGTGTTCCTGAAGTGTTTGTGTTAAAAAGTTTGTTTCCAGTGCAATGGTGTTGAAAGATGGAGAGTAAAAAGAAGAGATTGGGCCATGGGCACAGGGTTCAGGACTGGATTAATGCTATCACAGGAGTACATCAGTTACCAAGAGAATGAGCACATGTGGCTTTGGGGGAGCATTTAGATATAAACCGTAACAGCACTCACACACAGAATGGTGTCCATGGTGTGCTGGGATGGTGGAGGATGGATCTGGTGTGGGCTTCAGGGACTGGGTAGGGTAGGGAAGGTATCTATATGGCGGACATACCAGTGGGGGATGGGCTGTCAGAGCCCAGCCAGCTTGAGAAACTGCCTATGTGGAAGGTAGCCCTGGAGTGGGATTCAGGGACTAAGGAGGATAACGAGGCTGTTCTCTTGGTGGGACAGTACTGTGTGAAGAGTCAGACCCTTACAGGGTAAACAGTTCTACTCAGGAGATGAACTCATGTGGGGTGTCAGAACTCAGGGAGGCTAAGTGATGGGCTGTGGGATCAGCATCAGGAATCAAGCAAGTGGCTTCTCTACGGAGGGTGGCTCAGGACAGGGTGTCAGAACTTCAGTGCGCTGAGTACATCCTTGGGGGTGTGGTCTGGCTCTGTGCAGAACACTCAAGCGGAGTGGGGAGATGATCGGTCGGGGGAGGTGCTTAGACTGGGGATTACAGCCCAACCAGGGAGAGCTGGGTGTCGCAGTGTGGGACAGACGGCACAAAATGTGGGAAATCTGTAACTCCAGACAATCAACCAAGTGAATAAGCTAATGATAATGAACACAGGTTTCATTTTTCTCCTTTTTTTGGTCACATCTTCTCCCCTTGAAGGTCCTGCACCTTTTCCCCTTCACAAGGCTTACTGCCTTCTCTAAGCCCTCCTAAGTTAGGAGGTCTTAAATCCAACTTGGCACGGCACCTATGGCAGACTTATCTTCTGTCCAGAATTGGTCCATGTGGTTTAGCGGTTCTATATTTTATTTATTTTAAAGCAAAACATTTACTGGTACATTTTAGATATACATAATGATAACATCCATCATAAGGAATTTGTACCTGTAATGATATAACTTGCTTTTTTCCCATCCCTTCAACCCCTCTTTATTTACAAAAGCTTTGTTTCTATTTTTCCTTCTTTTTTTCTTGTCCTTTGTATCTTTCCCCCTCCCCTCTTGTTCCCCTTCTCATTTGAACTTTCTTCCCATTTCCCAACATCTATTAAACATTTTAGTCCTTATTTCTACTTTCAGTTTCTCACACCAGAGGAACAATGCCATATTTAAACATGTGAACACAGGTTTCTCCCATCCAAGTGCTAACTAAGCCCAACCCTGCTTAGCTTCCAAGATCAGATGAGAATGGGCTCAGGATGGGATGGCCGAAGACTGAACACATGTTTCTTACTGTCACAGAAATGAGTTAGAAATGTGGAAATGCAGCAGACTAAGATGAAGTCTGTTGCACTGAATTGGGCTTGTAGGTCTTAGTGTGAGTGCATGGTTTTCAGTATATTAGACAGATAAATAAGGGTACAAAACAAATATATAGAATAAATGTGTGTGTGTGTGTGTGTGTAGTGTGTGTTTTATACGTTGAGAAGGAGTTTGGTGGGGAACATTGTGGAAGTGGAGTCATTTGAGGAGAGTTTAGGGCATAGAATCTGGACACGGGTTGGGAGCTGGTCTGGGGAAATGTCCCACAAGAAAGATTTAATCTTGGGCTGAGGATTTAGCTCAGTGGTTCTGCTACCTGCCTTGCAAGTACAAGGTCCTGAGTTCGATCCCAGTACAAAAAAAAAAAAAAAGATTTAAACTTTAGAGAGTTCTGTCCTTGGCAATGGAGCAAAAATGTCAGATTTGGGACTCAATTTAAGTTTATCATGGTCACCTGTGACTGCACTTAGTTTTCCTAACCATTGAAAAATACTCACTTATGTATAGAAATATGGGATGAGGTGGTGTGGAGAGTAAAGGGAAAGCATGAAAGATGGAATCCTGCTCCAGCATCTCACAGACAGAAGTGTTTTCAGCTTTGCAGGTGACCAGTAGCAACATGAATGGACGCACACAGAGCAGTTACTTCAGAACAGCAGAAAAAAAGCAAAGAGCAGGGAGAAGCAGGTGAGAAGGAATCAGATCTATATGGTTTCTCTACTACCCTAGAGGAAGCCAACTCTTGAAAGGGGGTTGACTGACATGAGAGTTTGTATCTGTTAGAATGTGGTATGAAGAAGTTGCCTGATTAGCCAAAAATGATGAGGTGGGTGTTACTTAATGTAACAGTATTTGCTCAGGCTTTTTGTTTTAGAAGTAATGCTATGTGCATGTGGATGCATATATATTTTTTTGCAGTGGCTGGTAGACTTCTCTAGGTCTTGATTCCTCTTGTTTCCTTCCCATTTTTTTCTTGCCCTTTGACTTCACACTTTTGTTCCATTTATTTTTCATATACTATTATACAGTACTGGCCCTGGGAACTGGACCTCTCTCTGTGGGCCCCAGGACTCTACATTCTGATTTTAATTCTCAGGAGATACTTCTCAAGATACTTGTTTATTTAGTGCCTATGGATTCATATAGTGGAGTGGTAGGGCAATTTATTACATTTGGTCTCCTTTTTAACATATCTTAAGAAAGGGATGAAATGGATTTTCTGAAGAAAGCATGTTCTGTTGAACATGGCTTTGGAAACTATTCATGCTAAAGGTAGGTTCAGAACTGAATCCAAGATCTCATACACCAACTCAGCCTCTCCTGCAGGTAAAAAATCCTTTTGTAGTGGAAGAGATGACAGATGAAGGAGGAGCTGCTGATCTGCTGCCTGGTGCTCTCCTCTGTGGCAGAGCCCACCATGCAGGGGACACAATTTTGTAGCTACCTCAGTAGCCAGGAGGGGGCTCCATGCAGAGGGCTGCAGGGAAGAAAACCTGACTCACATTTGGGATGATGCATCCCACGAGTGAGTGCACAGCTAACACCAGGGTGTGAGCCCTACAGCTAGGAGCACTGAGTGAGGCTGAGCACCTGGAGGTTCTGCCCACCCTGCTTTCCTACTCCCTTCTTTCCCAGGCAGGATGGGACCAGGAGCTCCAGAACCTGTGGCCCCTGTGTCCCTCTCCATGTGGGTACAGCATACTTAAAAAAGTGAAGTAAGGCAGAAAACATTGCAAAAGGTGGTGATGGTGGGGTGCTATATGGCAGAGAGAGCTCAAGCATGAGAGCTATATGGCAGAGAGAAGCTCAAGCTGAGGTTCTCAGGCTGGCGTCTTTGTCTTGCCCATACTTACAGGAGTAAGCTGATTTCCTAAAAATAACTATTTCTCTAATTGGTACAATCAGTCTTAGCCTTTGTTCCTTGGGTGAGCCAAGGTTTACAAAAAGTATGCAAAGGTCCTATAAAGGGCAGCCCCTTCCATTACATGAGTTTAAGCATGTGATTATCTCTATTATGATAACCATTCAGGTCATGCCCTATGCTGCCTATTCCTCTCTTAAGTGTTCCTATACTAGGAGGAGGTGGGGGGAGGAGGAGAGAGAGGAGAGCAGGAGGGGGAAGAAAGAGTGGGAGAAGGGGAGGGGGAGGAGAGGGAAGGAAGGAGGAGGAGGAAGAAGGAAGGAGAAGAGGAAAAGGAAGAGGAAGAAGAGGAAGAAATAGTGACAAATGAAAAAGAGAAATCTGTTGAGGTGAAAAAAGGAAAATGAAACTCTAAAATCAAAATGACTTGGCTGGGTGTGGTGGCACAGGCCTGTAATCCCAGCACTCTGGAGGCTGAGGCAGGAGGGTCACCACCAATTTGAGGCCAGCCTAGGCTACATAGTCAGTTCCAGAGCAGTCTGAACTACATAGAGACCCTGTCTCAAAAAACAAAACAAAAACAAAAACAAAAAATGATTTGGTGTCCTCTATTTTGGTAGCTTACAAAGGGTTTCTAAAAATGTGATTTAAACATGTCATTTCACATAGAAAAGCTGACATTTATTTTTCTAGAGAAAACAGGAGACAGTGCTGCTCTTTCCTCTGCACCTGCCCCGACCTAGACAGGGCCCAGACTCTACAAGTGACCTCGGTCCCCGCCTATTGCCTCACTCTTTCAGTAAGCCCCGTGCACCTGGTTGGCTTATGAAAAAATACTAACTTTTTTTTCCTGTAAGAATTTAAGTTTTGAGTCGATGATTCGTAAATGCTTGTCGCCAAACACCCGCCTCCCACCGTGCCAGCGTTCCCACATACACTTCTCTAAGTCCACTGTGAGGCCAGAATGTGGGAGGCTATGGGCACAGTTGAGACTCGTGTTTTTCACGGAAAAGCAGAGTCGGACCCCAGCAGTGAAGTCCTGTGCCCCACTCCATCAGTGTCCATTCCTGTGGGAAGGTGAGCTGAGCGTGTGGGGGGGCACCGCACACCGGGCAGCAGCCTCAGCGGAGCCACCTACCTCGGATGGTGCAGGCCGTCAGCCGTCACCTGACAGAGAACCACTGGCTTTCCGCTTCCCATCTTGCTGAGCTCCAGTGCAGCTTTCGTGTCCTTTCACTTCCAGGGGTCCCACTCTGGGCTGGGAATCCCAGAGGGCATCGAGCTGGAGCTGACACCAACCCACACACCTCCACCTTCCATCACTTCCACAGCCCGAGGAAGGAGCCACAGAGCATGCGCGAGGGGCTGGCCAGCTTGGTCTGTCCGTCCACTGATTGGGCCGGCAAAGAATCGCTCAGAGGCTTCCACCCGCTCCTGGGCTGGTAGACTCGGCCGGAAGCATTGTTTTGGCGGGAGAACGCTGCCTTTCCCGCAGTCGCCGCAGAAAGGTTGAAAGAAAGAAAAAGAAAGAAAGAAGGACGAGGAAGAGACGGAAAATTGAGTCTGAAATTTTTCTTAAGGTATTTACTATATCCTAGTTCAGAGACAAAACCAATCCATTCAAACGCCCACCTCAGGCAAAACAGTTGCTCCCTTTGTGGCGAGTGGCACAGTTTTAAATCCTGCGAATAAGAGAAAATGCCAGTGCACCCTTCTGCCCTTCCTTCAGAAAGATTAGGAAGGGAATATGAGAAATGCTCACCTAGCTTTGTATTGTTACCTGGTGGCCTTATTATCTGTTCTATGGTTTTGTTTGTTTTGTTTTGGTACCGGGAGTCAAACTCAGGACCTTGTGCTTGCGGTGAAACAGGTGGCGGCACCACTGAGCTAAATCCCTGACCCAAGTTGTTTTTGTTTTTGGTGGTGAAAAAATCACACCACACTAGCTTTCCAGGCAAATGAAATGGAATCATCTATTTAAGTATCTTAAGGCGAGCTGCATGGAGACCCTATTGCTGTTCTCCTTAAGGTCCCATGTCATGATGCTCATTATTTGATTAGATCTTTTATTTTGTGGGGTCTAGTGTTTTGAGTTCTTTATATATTCTAGATATGAGTCCTCTCTCTGAGGACTAGCTGGAAAAATTATTTTCCCATTTTTAGGTTGTCTGTTCACTCTTGTTTATTTCTTTTGCTGTGTAGCTTTTTATTTTATTTTATTTTATTTTTGGTACTGGCGATTGAACTCAGGACCTTGAGCTTGTGAGGGAGGTGGTAGCACCACTGAGCCAAATCCATGGTCCACAGCCTTTTAATTTGATATAATCCCATTTGTTGATTCTAGTACTATTTCCTGTGCAACCTGGGTTCTATTCAAGAGGTTTTTTTTTTTTTAATCAGTTTTATTTTCCAGCAGGTTAAGTATTTCTGGTTGAACATTTAGTTTTTCTATCTAGTTGGATTTTTATTAAAGAGGCTGTCTTTTCTGGTGTATGGTTTTGGTCCCTTTGTCAAAGATCAAATAGATGAATGTGCTTGGGGTTGTTTTGACATAATTTCTTCTATTCCTTTGATCCTCATGTCTGTTTTTGTGCCAAGAATATGCTGTTTTTGTCACTATAGCTTTGCAGTATAACTTCAAGTCCAGGATTGTGATGCTTCCTCCTTTGCTGTTACCTAGGATTGCACTTGCTATACTGGGTCTTTCTGGTTCTGTATGAATTTTAGGATTGTTTTCTCCAGTTCTATGAAGAGTACTCTTGGTACTTTGGGATTGCATTACATCTGTATATCAATTTTGGAAATATGGCCATCTTGACTCTTGGTTCTGTCTATCCAAGAACAGAGGATATCTTTTCATTTTCTGATGTTCTCTTCAATTTCCTTTCTCAGAATACTATTCTTTTCATTGCAGAGGTTTTCTGCTTCCTAGTTTTTAGTGGTGTCTGCTGGACATGGCTAACTATTGGTCTTTGCCTCTGTCCCCAGATCCAGCCACCTCTGCTTACCTGGGATACGGGGTTGAGGCATATTTGGCCCACTATGTGGTTCTCCTGGAACAGGCCTCATTATTGTTAATGACTTCTAGGACATCCATATATTGGCATCCCCCAAAAAAACAATTAATAGCAACAGCTGAGTAATGTTGCCTATAGTAAAAAAAGTCAGCATATCAATTATATGTCAAATGCAAATAGTACTGACAAACCCTAAGACCAATAATGTGCCACCTTAACCATAGAAAAGTGGTCTATAATTATTGTATGATTACCAACACAGACCACATATTGACTTACTGTTGACCTACTACTAAATGGAACAACTTTAACTTTACTAATAGTAGAACAGTATTCAACAGCAATAGCATAAAGTTAACTCTAGCTATCTAGAGATTCATACAGCTTAGCTAAAGGCAGTAAAGCTTACTAAAGGTACAGGAGGTGAAGAACTACGAAATGAATAAAGCAAAATTTGAAAAAATTAGACAATGGGATATGAGGAGAGAAAAGTGAGATAGAGTTCCTATTAAGGAGTAAAAGGAAATTAATAGTATTGGAGGATATTGCAGTAATGATCAAACAAGAAAAGAAGATAATGATACAGAGGAAAATATAGGAAATAAAAGAAAGGTAAGAAGGAAGAAAATAGTTGAAAGGGGAAAAGAGAAAAGGAAAGAAACTAAAAGAGTACAAAAGGGAGAAGAAACCCAGAGCCTTCTAAATACTGAAGAAGGAAAGATAAAATTCATAAAAAATAGAAAAATCAAAAAAAGATTGAGTCAAAGAAAAAAATTCCTGTGTGTTAGTGTGTGTGTGTGTGTGTGTGTGTGTGTGTGTGTGTGTGTGTGTTTTAATTTTTATTTTTGGTCCTGGGGATTGAACTCGCTACCTTGTACTTCTGAGGCAGGTGTGGTGCCACTGAGCTAAATTCCGAGCCCATAATTCCTGTGTTTTTGAATGAGTAGTTTTTAGAAGGATTTGCTTTTTTTTTTTCCCCCTGCCAATTCTGGCCCCAGGAGCTGCAAGCAGGCTGCCTTAGAACAGTGTAGGCTGCCTGCCTTGGGCTTCTGGTGGACGTGGTTCTGCTACTATACTAAGAGCAGAAATTGACCAGACTTAACCTGTATTTACTGCCCAGGAAGCGTTCAATTGACCCCAGAATTCCAAAGTAGTTACATCAGACAGATTCTGCTGGCACAGAGCAATTGTTGTCTATGTGGGAGACATGTTCCTGGTGTTACCTGCTCTGCCATCTTTCCAGAATCCTCTGGGACAAACTATTATCATTTGGAGCATTATTCTGGAAGCTTTACCCTAGCTGCTTAAGTTAGAATAACAAGCAAATAAAAGTGATCTTGCGTTTTATAGACTTCAAATCACTTTATAATTATTTCCTCCTTTGTTTCTTCTTCCCAAAGCCCTGCCCTCCTCTCTTCTTTCCTTCCTTCCTTCACAACCAATTGAGTGCTTTACCTCAACTGGAGAAAGAGACTCTAATATTTTGCTAACTTGTCCTATTCTGGCCATCTCTTTTTCAACCTTTGGCTATTATTCTGTGAGCTCTTTCATTGGAAATGAAATTAGGTAATGAGATTATTTGATTACATGAAGTTAGGTATTATCAATGGATTCAGATTTCTCATGTTAGCTCCAGTCTTTTCCTTTGGAGAAAGGAACATACAATTGAGATGCTGAGAGTTCAGTATATTTTTGTGATTTCTAGGAACTGGAAGAAGAGGGAAGATAATGATTAAAGCAACACATACATTGTTAAGAAATTTATTTACAATTATTCTTTGTTTATTTTATCTTTTCCATTTTATTTATATATTTTATATGTTTATGATACACCACAGTTATATTCATTTTGAGGAATTGTCATATATATTATGATTTTTAAAATAACACTATTCTTTAAATAACATACACTCTTAATGGAATATAAAATAGCATTTCACACAGAAAGGATGCTGAGGCTCTTCTAGAAAGGTTTCTTTTTCTAGATTCCCTGGTCTTGCTCAATGGTGAGAAGGTGTAGCAGGTGAGGCCTTTGACAAGCAGAGTATTCGTGATTACAAACTCTGCAACAACATGTACAATGGTCAGACTATAATGTCATGGAGCCTGGGGGGTGGTTGTGGGAGTGTGTGGTTGTGTTGATATGGAGGCAGTGTCCATCTCTAAGGACAGAGATGATACATGATACAGACAACGGAGGAATGAAGTTGGGGCGAGCAGAGGGGAAGGGATGGAAGGGCTTTGCCTAGACTTTTAACATGGAGGGAGGCTTTGCTTGGTAGTTCTGGAGTATTAAAATAAAACAGCAAGGTTATGAGAACAATAGACATTCCAGTGCTTCTCCCATTAAGACTCTGTTCCTTAATGAATTTATGTAATTTCTCACTGGTTTTTCTCAACCATCACAGACACGTCTAAATCTGGCTATTCCTTTGTTGTTCATGCCTATTTCAATGCAAAACCTCTCTCCTATGAGATAATGGGAGCATAGTGTGCTCTCTAGGCAGGGCAGGATGCACCTGTAGAGTGCTGCACGATCTTGTAGGAAAGCTGAGAGATGGATTCCAAATCTGGAGGGTGAGATGTGATGATGACTGGATAGGGTGGTGTGTGGAAACAGATGTGCCCGTAGCATTGGGACTGCTGAGGTTTCTTCTGGAGAAGCCTCCTGCACAGGATTATTTGTTTATAAGTAACGTGGGAGGTGGTGGGACCAGAGGACATGATACACGTACAAGTTCCTTTTTCAATTGTAGACCTCCAGCAGTGCAACAAAAATTGGGTGAATTTTCTGAGGTTCCTAAAAGGTTTGTAGAAGAGTTCCACACTCTAATGATGGCCTTTGATTTGACCTGGCTAGATGTCCAGTTTATCCTGGTTTCTTGTTACTTAGCTATATAGAGAAAAAAATCCTTACTGCTGCTTGAGAGGCAAAAATCCAGCTTTTAAGGACACACTTAAAGAGAACAGACCTAGACAAGCTTTTGGAGGCCCAGGTTGGGCCCAGTTGGAACTCTAATACTGGTTCAGGAGAGTGAAGTCAAATATTGTACCTCTAGCCATCTTAGTGGATATGCATAAGGATATATCCAAGACCATGAACTGTGACAGATTAGGACTCTTAGCTAGGGCTCTGATGAACGTCCACCAGCATTCTAACAACAGTTTGAGAAGACCCCTGCAAGTATACTAACCTGAACCTTAAGTCCAGGAAGGCCAAATTATCATGGGCATATACATCATCAGCTGATCAACTCCAGATACTAGGAAATAGTTGAAAAACTCCAACAGGACCCCAAATGGGGATGAGTCCATTGTTTGATCTGGTTTTAATGGTTGTTTTACAACTAAAACTGAGAGAACAAATGAGAGTCAATTAAAGAAAAATGGCACATGGGCTGGGCATTTAGCTCTGTGTTGCAAGCACCTGTCTGGCAAGTAAGTGCAGATCCTGAGTTCGATCCCTGGTACTGGAGAAAAAAAAAAAAAGGCAATAAAAGTGGCAGGCCAAGATCATGGTGGCCTTAATTGATCAGGTCCATAGAAAGACCTGTAGCACTAGG